TATTTGAGTCTTGGGGTGTGTCGGGCAGGTTCAAAACAAGTTGGTTGGATGTTTGGGCAAATGGTTGCTGTCCAGTTTTTGGTCTTTTCGCTCGACCGGGGACTTTGTCACTCGAGCGAGCCTTGTTTTCTTTCTTCTTCGCTCGAGCGAGGGTTTGAACGCTCGAGCGAGTATTGTGGGTCTTCAGATTTTTTTTTAGAAGCAGCTTTGGCTCGAGCGAGCTTTTTTTTCGCTTGAGCGAGCTCAGTCTGGTGTGTGTCTTTGCTCAAGCAAGCAGTCCTTCGCTCGAGCGTGCATCTACTTCTCTTTTGGACATGAAGGTTGTGTTTCTTGGCTCGAGCGAGCGAGGACTATGTTTTGAGTTTCTTCGCTCGAGCAAGGACTCCTGCGCTCGAGCGTGCTTCTGAGTTGCAGACCTGAAGCTTCGTGTTGTTCGCTCGAGCGAGGCTTTGTGCACTCGAGCGAGGTTTGTTTGTGTCTAGTCGCTCGAGCGACCACTCCTTTGCTCAAGCGAGCCTCGAGTATATCAGTTGTAGCAGTGTATTTCTTCTTCACTTTTTCATCTCTTTTTACTTCCAAACCCTAGATTCGACTCTCTCTCTCTACATACACCTTCTCTCTACAAATACCCTTGGTTCTTGGGTGTGTCTACCCTAATCTCTTTGTAAGAAAGATGGAGCTTGGTGCGGGCTACACGTTGATCCAAAAAAGTTGTACTTTGGATCACTTTCGAGTTTCTTCATCTGCTCCTTTGGGATCTCAACTTCGATGTAGGGATGATCTACTCCTTCTTATGAGTTTTAACATAAATATTAGACATTTTGTATAAATGTTTAGATTTGGTGATTTGGGAAGTTAGGGTTTGAGATTTGTGATATTTAAGAGAGAGGTTTTGTGTTTAAGCTCCATATGTATATGAGGTCTTGAAAATGAGGTTTTGTGGGTTTGATAGGTGAGATTTGGTCTTAGGATCAATGTTTGAGAAAATGGGGAAATGCCCTAATTGAATTTAAATAATTAATTTGTATAGTTAATTGGGTAATTGTGAGGAATATGAAATTGATTTGAACATCATGAAATTGGATGAAATTGGGACTAGTTGGTGTTGTCGGTTTGACAAATCACTCACTTATGGAAAATGTGATAATGTATCTGTTTGGTAAATTCATTTATCTGCCTAGAAATAACTGCTTTGGGCTATCGGTGGAGGATAGTCTTGATTGTTGTAGAACCGCATGATGATTAGGTAAATTGAAACTGATCACTTGAAATATGTCATTGAATATGATAGTGGGAAGAACACATTGAATATGTGCCTTAATTGATCATGGTATAAGATAAAGACTTTAATACATCGTATATGTATCTTGTTTGGGGAGGAGATATGGGATGTACTCCATAAATGATTATGTGCTTTAATACATTGTATATGTGTCTTGTTTGGGAGGAGATAGGGGATGTACACCATATGTTCTTATTTGCTTTAATACATTGTATATGTACTTTTGTTTAGGAGGAGATAGGGGATGTACTCTATACGTGTGATTATATGCTTTATTACATTGTATATGTATCTTTGTTTGGGAGGAGATAGGGGATGGACTCCATAGATAATTAAGTTGGCCGGAGTGTCCGGGGTGAAAGTCCTGAAACCTTATAAATTGAAGTACATGAATGAAGTTGACATTTAAAGTGTTGATAACATGAGTTGTAGTCTCATTTTGAATTGTGGATAACGGAAGTGTTAATAAGTCGAGTTGTAATCTCATTTTGAATTGTGGATAACGGAAGTTCTAATAAGTCGAGTTGCAGTCTCATTTAAATTGTTTGGTTAGATAATGAACCATATTTAGGAATTGAATTGGATAAATAAGGGAAGTGGATTGAAACAATTGGATGTAATTGTTGTTGGGTTATGAGAAGGGTGTGAGTTGGTCTACACGTGTTAATCATTTGTTGAATGATAATGTTTTAGTTATTTCACATATTGGGTTTAGTATATCTCTATTGGGCTTTGGCTAACCCTACTTGGGACACCATTTTCAGGTACAAGAGACGTGCCAAGTCCAAGATCTTTGCCTGGGAGGTTTTAGGAGTTGAAGACTCTGCTTTGTTATTTGTTTTGTTGATTACGTGTTAATGCAAGCCGAGGGCTTTACTTGAAAAAGAGTTATAACTCATCTTTTGCGTAACCAAGTAACAACTTGAAAAGATGTAAGCCTGCAGGGCATTCTATCATTTTTGTAAACATTTGTAACTTATATGGAATACACTTTTATAATATTAACTCTGATGTATGTATGGAAATGTGATTTATCTATCATGTGTATGGAACGGTTGGATGTTGGGATTATGTATTACTTTGAGGGCGTTACATTTCTATTATTTTTTAATCACTTAATATAAAATTATAAGTCTCATTTTTTTTTTATTAATTAAAACACTTTTGTGATATCACGTGACAATACCTCAAAATCAACCAATAATTTCTCTCCAAGTCGGGCCTGGTCAGATTTGGATTAGGAGATTTTTTTTTTTAAAAGAAAAATAAAAAATTTCTTAACTTAGGCGTAGCCGAACACAAAGACTATAGATAGGCTTTCAGGCCATTATTCACATCACTACTATGGTAGCTGGCCTCTTTGCTATATAAATTAGTACTTTTCTGGTTATTCATATTCATATCACTGCTGTGGCAGCTGGCGTCTTTGCTATAAAAATTTCTTTTCTGTCGAGGCATGGAGCTAGCTACTATCAAAGCTTTGTTGTTGCTTTCCTTCTTTATTTTTTGTTCCTGGTTGAATTAGTGGAAAGAAGAAGAAGAAGACTTCAGCGACTATGGCAGAAACTATAGCTGGGCCTTTTGTAGCCTTTGTGGTAAAAAGGTTGGGAGATGTACTCATTCAAAAACAGAATTGGCTTTGTTTGGTTTGGTCGGTGAGTTATTATTGTCTTGTGACCGAATTGATATTACAGAGTCCACTCACTACAGGAAAACATAGCAAAAAGCCGCGCCCCCCGTCGCAAAAAATGGTTTTTTGCGACGGTAACTGCACCTGTCGCAAATAATAGCCTTTAGCGACGGTACTGACCCGTCGGTAATGAAACCAAACGGAGGGGTCGGAAATGCCCCCTTGCCGTCGCAAAAAGCCACATTACCGTCGCAAAAGGCATTAGCGACGGCTTCCGGGAGCATTTGCAACGGCCGTTTACCGTCGCAAAAAACAAATTTTTTTGTAGTGACTCCACTCCACACAAAATGCAATGATCCAGACATCCCCATCTTCACCTTCTGATTGGGCCCCATCAACCATCATCCCCTCTTTTTTGGATTATATTATCAAAATATCAAACATGCCCACAAACCCCATTACAAGGAACAAGAAGGTCTGTCTGGATCACAGAGTATTTCCAAACCCCTTTCACCATAATTATTAATTTATTAAAATTAGAATCTATTTACATTTTTTTTATAGAAAATTATTAATAATATCAAAATAAATAATTTATATAATGTAAGAGAGATGCTACTATAATAATTTTTACAATTTATGAGTGGGAATAAAAAATGTAAGATTTTGTGTTACTTGTATATATAATATATATTCAATATGATTTAATAATCTAAATTATTTTAGTATCACACAATGGCTAAAAATTTATATGTATATTTAATATTTTTATATATCTACATATGTATAATTCGGGTTTTGAGTTACTTAGGTTCAGGGTCGGCCCTGAGATTTAGGGGGGTCCCCCTTTTACATTGAAAAAAAAAATTCATAAATAAAACGATAAGTTACAACTTTTTTATTTGTTTGTAACCACAAAAAAAAATTTATTTGCACATATAATCATTAAAATTATAAACAAAAATTTATTTTCGAATATTAAGATAGGAAGTAATCGTTACAAATACTTAAAAAAAATAAAAATATAATCTTGCTGCTTTTTTTTTAGCCCCATGTTCTATTGGGCCTATATTATTTGAGCCCTTTTTTTTTATATCTAAAACACAAAATTATATTTGGGGACACCCATTTTTAGCCCAAATTTAGGGATCCAAGGCGCAGGCCTCTCTTGCCTGCCGTCAGGGCCGACCTTGCTTGGGTTGTTTGATATGTTTGTCCAAGTCCTCTCAAATTTAGTTCAAACTTCTAATTTTTTGTCTAAATTCGTACCAAATTCAAAAATATTTTGTCTATATCCTACAAAAATTTGGATTAGAGTCAACTTATTCAAATTGAGCTCGGTCAAGTTGTATCCCTTGAATTTAGTGTTCCTAGAGCAAGTTTGATTTTTATTTTATTTATTTATTTATTATTATTATTATTATTATTATTAGTTTGGAATAGAACAAAACTAGAAAAGCACTAAATAATTGAAGCACAATCACATCCTTCGTTCTTTCATAAAGGACAACATGGCCGACCACATTGCACTAAGCTAAAATAGAGAACTGATGCAACAAATTCGAGAGAAGAAAAAGAAAAAAACAATAATAACAAAGGAAGACGCCATTGCCATTGCAGTTGGCACCAAACACACTGCAGGAAATTCAGCTTTTAGCGGCGTTTTTTAAGGTGTCAAAAACGCCGTTAATTCTTTTTGTGGCGCTTAGCACCAAACGTCGAAGCTGCGGCCGTCGCTAAACTGACTTCATGACTGTTTTTAGCGACGTTTTAAAAACGTCGTCATTGCTTTTTTTTGGATTTTAAAAATATAACCGTTGACTGTATAGTGACATTTTCAAAAACGCCATTATATCTTTATTTTTTTAATTTATTTTTTTTTAAATTGTGCTAATTCTATGTTGTGCTAATTCTATGTGGGTGAACCAAAAAATACCTGTAATAAAATTGAAAAATAATACTAATATGAATCAATAATTCCTGTTCCTATTCAAATGAACATTTGTCAAAAGATAAACCAATTATATAAAAAGCTGCCAAGTAGCAAATACAACATTAATTCACTTTTCTATTCAATTTAATATACAATTACCATTTAACTACAAAATAACATATCCACAAATTATGTTTTAACATTCGCCAAAAAATAACAGGAAAAACATTAAGACAAACCCCCTGAGTTTTGATTTAATTTGATGTCTTGTCCTTGATACTAAATTCACTGAACCCAGTTGATATAGCATAGAATCTGTAATCTTCACTGGTCTGGATGCCTGTATCAAAATATGGAAGCCAAATTAGGTAAAGTGCATAAATTAATAATGGTAGAAGTGTTACAGCTATAAAACATAAGATGTATATTACAACTCACCATTGTCAGTGGGAGACGAGGACGTAACCGTCAAAGGCCCACATGAAATGGAAAAGCACTGTTCAAAAATGTTTTCTGTGTACATTAAGACGAACCCATCAATTGAAACACAAAATGAAAATAAATCTGAGGATGAGCTCCCAACATCTGAGATTGGATCCCCACCAACAAGAGACTGAACCTTATTCACTGGGGAGATAAAAATTGAAATTATTCCCATGCTTACACTGAAGCAACTTTGTGCACAAAAATCTTCAGAAACAACTCCAAACTGTTCATCAATCTGTGGATGATCAGCAAAAAATATATGCAGAAGCAAGCTTATTAATGAGTTGAATGTTCTGCATATAACACTCCAAATAAGTTTTAGGAGTATAAGGACCCTACTGAAGAATTTGAAGCGACTGGTGACTAGCAATTTATTAGAACAATTCTTCGTCTGTTGAATACTTAATACTGCTCTGTAACGAGCTATTCGCCGTGCCCATGCAATAGCCTCAGCAGGCAGCTTCTTTTCAATTTCAGAAACACTCCTCCATTGTTTTTTAACAGCTATTGCAAATATGTCATCCTCAGACATCTTAACAGAAGATCTTTTCATAATGTCGTCCACAGGATATCCAACTAATATAAGTAGATTCTCATAAGCATTGACATACTGTAACCACAAACACACAATACCAACCAATTTATACAATGACCATCTACGAGTAGAAATCAGAGAACTGATTCTGCTTGCAGCTATGTTCCATAGGTGACTACCATTTCTAACAGAATTGGATTCATAGGATGAGAGTGTATAAAACACTAAAATAATAGGAAGCTCTACCGGAGAAATTGAAAAACTTAATTCTGGAACATTAAGATTGAAGTCCATAAGCTGAAGATCTTTCAATTTGAGGCGAGTGAACAGATCCAATAAAAGTATAGGACAGCTGATGTGATCTCTTCTCTTCAGCCCAATCTGAAAACCTTTCAGATCAAGACTGAAAGAGCTCTCTTTCGAAGGAGCAAAAAGTGAACTGATAAGCCCTCCCAGAAAACACCGACCCTCAGCATACAGAGATTTTGCATTAAGCTCCTTAGTCTCACACAAACATCCAAAGGAATCATTTGAGACAGGAAACTGAACTAGCAGATGAATGTCATGCATCTGCAACTGACAACGTTTAAGTATAACATTAAGGAGAGAAGCCTTCTGATTTCTTGAGGGATTGATGTCTGATAACTTTTGCATAACTTCATGCAAAGAAACACCCTGAAACCCAATAAAGACTCTGTGACTACTACTGCATTTTGCGGCCAAAAAAAAAAAAAAAACAAGCATGTTATAAGAAACCTAGTGTTGATTGTACTCAAACATGTATAAAGGTCTCATAGTCAATATTAGTTCAGTATTGAAGAATATTTAGACTTCGATTTGCATGCATTAATGCTCCAGCTAATTGAATGGAAGTCGATTATAGGCTAGAGAGCAGTATATCTTTTCTTTTTTTTTCTAAAAAAATCCACATCCTGTTTTAACATATAAAGGCAATTACATTTTATGACACCAGTGGTGGTTGTTTCCTCCTCCAATTTTCTTCCAGCATTGAATCACAAAGGTTCAATACGAACTGATATCACCATATTAACTGATTCGCACAATAGGAAGTCAACTCCATTGTAGTCTCTGGCCATTTTTTTTTAAGAGCTTTATAAGCATAAATGCTACCTATACCGTATGATTAACTTCACAAGACAGCCTATATAAATGCATCTTACTTTTTTAATTAATCTTATCTTTGTTACCAAAAAAAAAAAAGGATAGAGAATTATCTACTTTGTGGTCCATTATTTGTTAATTGTTTAAATGTTTATAACTTTCTCACATGATACAAGTAGCTCTCACATAATATATTTGTACCTTAAAGCTTATCTTTATTCCTTACCCATGAGAAGTTGCTTGTTCAATAATGGTAGAATCTGTAATCAAATTATCTTAAAATTAGCTAGAACCATTTGCAATCTCTAGTTCCACAAAGCAGATTTTGACTCTACTAGTACTACTCTATTCCAAATACATGTCTAAACCAAATAAATAACTACTGATCACTCAATAGATTGACAAATATTTGCATCAAACCATAATAGTTGACACTTGCAATAACATAAATGGTGTTCGTCGAACTAGTCCAATTCTTAAGGACACTTGCAAGATAAATCAGGAATGATTTAATTTCAATTATCAGGATGATCTGAACTTGGTAATTTTGGTCTAGCATATTAAAGAGGACACAATTAAACTTTTATCTTAATGCATGTGGATAACTCATCTATCAAATGCACAGAAAATGCCAGCACTAATGGTATACAAACAAATTGTCAACTTTAAATGGAATCTCACAGAAATGAAAAGCTGCTGCACAGTATAAGACTGGAAGGTTTAGAGTTCAGATTGTATACTACCTGGAACCAATTGGGGTTCTCTGGGCTTTGCTGAGCAGCAAAAACTGCAACAAAATTGGTAAGTACAGAAATCAGATCCAATCATTCATTTATTGTAATGACAAGTGATGAAAACATTACACAAATATGTGCCTAGTTTTATGAGCTTAGAAACCATAAAATAAATGCAGTAGAAAAAATAAAATAGAAGGGATGAAATATATCTCTTTGTAATGGAAGAAAATAGATGAATAGGTAACATTTTCATATTAACCGAATATCTGAAGTTATAAAAGCAATGATAGAGATAAAAATTCAGATAAGTGTAACACTTGTTAGCATACAAAAGCAACTTGAGGTGAAATCCTCAAATCTTGGGCCTTCAAGTTTAACAGAGGTCATGTAACGATTTTAGTAAAGAAAAATTAATAAAATTTGTTAATACATACCCTAAAGCCGGATAACACATAAGTAAAACCAAACTAGCATCAAATAACTTGTAAAGGACATAAAATGAGACCCAAATTGACCAAAAATTTGCTTGGATCAGGCCCATAGGCACTAAAACCTTTACAAATTCCAAACTTTCACTTTCTAGTTTGCATTCTCTACATCATGTATCTCCCTATTCTCAGACAATGTTAGCAATCTCTCAACTTCAACAAGAGCTTTGCAATTTCAATATTTTCTAAATTAGGACATTTCAAAGAATGATAACATTAAATTAAAACTCAAGATGGTATATAGCATGGAAAAAATACCAAAATCTGCAATATTTATTGATATGAAATTCTCAAAAGCAACCATTCAAGAAAATAAAAGACATCAACAAATATCAAAAACGCAATAAAAGTCAGGAAACAAAATACATACCTGAATAAATAGCCGATGGAGGCATGTGAGCATCACTGAAACTTGGGGATTCAGGCCAAATTCATGCTTTAAGCAGTGCTTAAAATTAATTGCAATTTCAGAGTGTGAGAGAGATATGTTGCAATTCATGAATGAAAATATCGGAGAGCTCGAGACAAAGACCATGAGAGTGACCTCATTATCCACTTTCCATTTCCATTTTGGTTTCAATAACTGGCATCTTCTACAGCCGTTAGAGAGATGGAGAAAAGTAACCAATGATTCAGTTTGTCATATGCTGCAATAGTTAAGTGTTATTACTGATAATGGTACATTGAGATGGCCATCTGCAAATGCAATTCAGCTTACGAAAATTAGGAATTAAGTGCTATTCACATTTCAGCTAAATTTTCTACAAACGATAGGCTTAAGTGGGCTGCATCCTTTTAAAGATAAGATCACTGTTGCTTCGGCTTTGAAACTTGTGATCATCTTGAGTTAGCTGGGCTCAATTGTTATGGCATTCCAAGGCAATTTCAAGGGCTGGTTTTATTCTCTACAGGACTACAGGGTTTGAAATGTGAAAACTATTTTCCTAGTCAACCAATTAAGTCTCAAATTTTTTGTATAATAACAAAGTACACTGCGCTTGAAAACCAAATTATAACCAAAACAGATCAACCTCCTTTTGATTTCATTCCTTTGTTTTTCTCAGCAAACAAACAGAGATGATTGTGCGACCAATGCCAAAAACATAGATCGAAATCAAAATCATCCAAAACAAGCTTGAGTCAGACCAATAAAAGAGAAGAGCACCTAGATCAACAATGGAAATCGAAATCCTAAGCAACCGTTTCAGTCAATCGAATGAAATCAAACTAATAGAATGTAAATCAAAACAGATCTAGATTGCTACTGTGCAGTCATGAAAATCTCTGAATCTCGAGTGAACACAGCGAGATTGAAAAGCCCTTTCAAAAAGATCCACTGCATTTTTTCAGCGCCGTGTAGAATGAAACCCTAGATAAATGAAAATCAAGGGAGATCGAACAATCTTGAAGAAAATTGGTCAAATCAAGGGAGATCGAACAATATCGAAGAGAGATCGAATAATCTCGAAAAAAATTAGTCAAATCGAGTGCACAAAACAAGATTTCAAAATAAAAAAATAATGAAAAACGATTGAGAGATTTAAGGTTTTGATCTACAATAGACTTACTTGAAATCTTCATCATCAGTTGCTTCATCAATATCTACAAAGAGAGCTTCATTCATGCCATTTTAGACAGAGAATAATGTTGGAGAAGGAGAAGGAGAAAGAGAGGGGAGAGGGGAATGAATCTGTGACTCTGATGTTGGAAACAAAAGTTATATTCTATTAGGTTTGAGTATCAGAGGTTTGTTTCTTTTTCCTTTTTTTAACTCATTAATTATTGGCAAGGTTAAGCATCAGTGAAGGCACGCGTCTTGGAAAACGAGAAACGAAGACGTTTTTCAAAAAACGTCTTTTTCTAAGCGCCGTGACATTGAATTTTTCTTGTAGTGACACAACGCGACACACACACAGAGAGAGAGAGAGAGAGAGAGAGAGAGAGATGATGGAGGTGAAAGAAGCGTTGTTCATGAACAGAGGAGAAGGAGGAAGTAGTTATGCACAAAACTCTTCTTTCATAGTAAGATAATGTTTGTATATTTGTATAGTAGCATTACTCTTCATGTTCATGGTATGTCCAATTCTCACTTCTGTGAAAATTTCTGCTAAGTCAACAATTGTTATACCTTGCAATTTGTATCGAAGTTATAGATTTTGTTAATCAAATAACAGTTTTGAAGTTTTATTGGATTGCTAGGTCCTTTTTTTTTCCACTCACTAAAATAATTATGGATCAAACTTTATTCCTTTAGGCCATGTTTGTTTGGGTGCGTATGTGCTTGGGATTGGACTAATAGTCCAATAAAATTATTAATCTAGTATTTGGTTAAAAAATTGAAGTATGGACTAATAATTCATCCGGATATAGTATCCCACATATGATGGACTATTCAATCTCACAGAGGGAGTAGGATATAAATTGGAGAATTAAGCCAATGTAACGCCCTAAAAAATAAACCCATTATAACATGCATTCATGATAAATAGAAGAGATTTCATATTACAATCATCAGAGTATTCTTACAAAAGGTATTACATGTTGACAACAAAAGTAAATGCCTTATAGGCTTACAACTTTCCAAGTCAACACTTGGTTACAAAAAGAGAGTACTAACTCTACACAAAGTAAGCCCTTGGCTTGATATACATGTAATACAACAAAAACAACAAAAGTAGTCTGACAGCCCCAAGCCTCCCAAGCTACGTCCTTGGAGGTGGCATAACACCCGTACCTAAAAATGATGTCCCATATAGGGTGAGCCAACGCCCAGTAGAGATATGCTAAACATAATATGAGCAATAACTAAAACATTAGCACTTGATAAATGTTTAACTCATGTATACTAACATGCAGTACAATCCAGTTCAATAATCCTTCACTTAACAAAACTCAACTTATAAACACGGCTTAGAACCAGGCCAAACAACATAAGTGAGACTACATCTCAAGCCAACAATACTTCAACTTGCCATTTTACGGAAATTGCATCCGCAGGATTCGGCACCCATTGTGATTATTTTCTCATGGCCATTTTACGGAAATTTCATCCGCGGGACTCGGCGCCCATGTTTAGATGTTTTCGGCTTGCCATTTTACAAAAATTTCATCCGCGGGATTCGGCACCCATGTATAGATATTTTGAATTGCCATTTTACGGAAATTGCGTCCGCGGGATTCGGCACCCATGTGTAATTATTTTCGAATGGCCATTTTACGAAAATTTCATCTGCGGGATTCGGTACCCATATATATTCAAATACTCAACTTGATTAGTTTTAATTCACCTAATCATAATGCAGTGTCTACAACAATCAAGACTATCCTCCACTGATAGCGCAAAGCAGTTATTTCTAAACAGATAATAAATGCATCAACAGGTAAATTATCAATAATTTCAAAGGTGAGTGATTAATAAATCCAACTTCACCATTCTACCTCATAATGAGCCAATTTCATTATTCCCAACTCAATTTCATAATTCCATAACATTCCCAAATTAATTATATAAATTAATTCATAGCAAAAATTAGGGCCCCCCTTTCTCTATAATGACCCAATGGTCTCATATATCCTCAACAACAACAACAACAACATTCTAAGACCCAAGATGCACATTATGAGTCAAAATAACCAAACCCCTCTTTATTCATTTTGAAACCCTAACACCCAAAATTACCCAAATTCAACATTACATCAAAATGACCAATAGATTATGTCAAAAACTATAAAAATGAGTAGTTATCCCTACCTCAAATTCGGAGCTCAAAGGGAGAAGATGAAGAATTTCGAGATGCTCCAAATCCCAAGATTTTCGGATCAAAACGTAGCCCACAACGAGATCAACACTTTTTACAAAGGCCCAAGGATAGAGGATCAATCCTACTAGATCAAACCCTAGAGAGAAGTTGGGATTCTAGAGAGAGATGCTCTCCAATGGAGGTTTTGAAAAAGTATGAGAGAGAAAGGAAATCAAAAAGTGATCCAAAATGTCACTTTTTGGATTGAAATAGCAGTCGCCCTGTTCGAGCGTGGAACTCCCCGCTCGAGCGTCAGACACAGACTCACGCTCGAGCGTCAAAAGCGCCACTCGAGCGCCGGATGCACACTTCCAGAAGTTTTGCAGACCATGGTCCCCGCTCGAGCGTCTAACTCCCCGCTCGAGCGGAGGAACAAAATCAAAGGACCCGCTCGAGCATCAAAACACCCGCTCGAGCGTACGACGACCTGCAGAGCAAAAATGCTGAGAGATGAAAAACCACGCTCGAGCGGAGAAGCAAAAACGAAGGGCCCGCTCGAGCGTCAAAAGCCTCGCTCGAGCGTGAAGGCCAAAATCAGGGCATCAACTCTAGGTTTCTAAACACAACCAACCTGTTTGAAACCTGCCCAACACAACCCAAGACTCAAATACAAAGAGTAAAGGATGTAAATGAGAATAAGACAACAACATAACCACGGAACCAAGTCCGGAATGCAATAATCAAAGGAAAAGAAAACAGGGATCGCTATAGCCAAAGTCTGGATTAACTCATCAAATGACCAAATTAACCATGACTATATATATATAACCCTCATTTAAATATTTTAAAAATATTTGAAATATTTAAAAAAATTCCATAATTTTTTTTAATTTGTAAATATTTTAAAAAATTAAGAAAATTTTTAAATATTTAAAAAAAAAACCAAAACAATGTCAAAATGCAACTAAGAACATGATATTGACATATTCTTTGCTAGAGATGATCTAAGAACAATTACATTATTATTTATAACAATTATGAATGGCAGTAATCATTAATTACCACCCTAGACTTTTAATTCAATATGTTTATAATTGGTATTCTGTATGCATCTTCTCATAAATATATTTGCTCTGTTTTCTATATTTTCTGATTTCATTATTTTTCTAAATAGCTGTATTTCATAGTTGAACGATTTTTGATATTTTTTGTTCCCAAAAAAAAAAAAGTTAAATTCTTTTAATTCAACATGTTTATAATTGGTATTTTGTATGCATCTTCTCATAAATATATTTGCTCCGTTTTCTATATTTTCTGATTTCATTATTTTTCTAAATAGCTGTATTTCATAGTTGAACGATTTTTGATATTTTTTTGTTCCCAAAAAAAAAAAGTTAAATTTTTGTTTAAATGAATGTCTTTTTGAATTTTGGGCAATGAATGGTTGGATGATTAAAATAGTAGTGCATATTTTTTAATGGTTGCTTGTGTATTTAAATTTTATAGTGAAATGATTTTTGATGTTTTCTATTAAAAAAGGGGGGTTAAATGAATATTTTTTTGAATTTGAGCAATGAATGATTAAAATAGCAGTTCATATTTTTTAATGATTGCTTGTGTATATATAAATTTTATAGTTGAATGATTTTTTATTTTTTCTATTAAAAAAAAGTGAGGGTTAAATTTTGTTCCAATAAATACTTTTTTGAATTTGGGCAATGAATGGTTAGATGATTAAAATAGCAGTGTATTTTTTTTAACGGTTGCTTATATATATATATATATTTATAGTTGAATGATTTTTGATTTTTTCTATTAAAAAAAAAGTAGGTTAAATTTTGTTCAAATGAATCGAAATGAATGTAGAACAACAATAGCGAAATTTGTTTTTTAAAAATTATAACACATGCTAGTGCAAAATTTTACAATAATTATACTAGGGGTATTATGGTCAATATATTGGATGTCCCATGTCCAGTCATGTCCTATCCATATCAATCCCCTCAAACAAACATCGGATTAGATAATATTTTGTTAATCCCTCTTTATAATCCTAACTCAATCCAAACATACGATATGGTACACAATCCAAAGGAATTCATAATCCTAAGACTATTAGTCATGGAAATACTAATCCAACCTAATCTAATCCGCCCAAACAAACATGCCCTTAATTTTAACTACAATAGAAACTGTAGCCATGTTACAAATAGGACAACTTGATAAGTCACCGACAATAAAAATAAGTCGTTGATAGTTAAAAATTGTAATCATTTAAATTATATTCATATCATTAAGATAGAATGATGTAGCAAGTCATTGATAATAGCATGACACGACAAGTCACTGATATGAATTGATTCATGTCACTCTATAATATTTTTGCTTGTGATTTTACGTCCATTTTTAATGAATTTAATAAACAAAAAAATAGATATTACAATGGATCATATGCGACATTGATAGAACTCCCGATTAGAGAATTACAAGCAAATTCTAAAACTCATATGTACTTAAAAGACTAAAAATAGATCGTCTGGAGTGAAATTGAAAACAACACTCTAAGACCTGTATTATGATTTTACAATTCAATTACTCGGCTAATTTGTCACAATCTGCATATTACAATCACATGTTAAATCGCATCTTAAAAACATAATTTTAATAAGACATTACAAGATTGAAATTGTATCTTCAACCTATCACGTTGGCACCCTATGCAATGCTAGTGGATGCTTGAGGTGGTCATATCACAATGAAATCATATCTTTAACTTGTGATTTTATATTGAAATTGCATTTTGAAAATATGATTTCAAAAAAAAAAATGCACTAATTTGCTAAATAGTTTGAAAAGTGTAGCATTTTTATAAATAATTTTGTTTTTTTCCAATATTTATAAATTAAGAGAAAAAAAAATGCAAATCTTTAGTTTGATAAGTAACAACTCTATCATTCACACCATAAAAAGTACTTAAATAATGAAATGTGTGAACCAAATTTATTTTAAATTTAACATACATCATACAAGTTCAAATTTACAAAACAATTTTTAGGCCATGTTTGATTCACAAGACTAATAGTGAAGGTATTAATAATCTCATCAAATTAGTATGGTATTTACTATCCAATTGGATTAGTAGGATAAATTATCTCATTGTCCATTGTTTGAATTGTATTAGATAAGAAAACATATGAATGTACGATTACAACTATATGTATCTTCTTTTCCAATCTTACCATCCATCAATGTTTCTTTACAATCTTTACTTTATCAAAATTTCTTCATAAACGTGGTTTTGAAAAAAATTATAAATAAATAAATAAACGAAAAATTAAAATACAAAATACCAAGGCCATGTTTGGTTTGTTTTTTATTTTTATTTTTTCAAATATGAACTAATTTGATAAAATAAATATCAAAAAATATTTTTAAACTTTTAAAGATTATTTTTAGCCTTCTAAAATATAAAATTATATAACAAGAATAAGTGTTTTTAATTTTCAGTCAAGGGTAAAAGAGTCTTTTTATTTTATGTCCCAACTCAGGATATATAATCCCACCCTTACCCCATTACTAATAATCCTACAAATTTATTGGATTAATTATCCATTGGATTAACAATCCTAAAGCAAAATTTTAAAATAAACATAGGATTATTGGGCTCATAGATTAATAATCTCAATCTCATACTCTAATCTTGTCAATCAAACATGTCGTAAGTGATATGTGCTCAGATTCATATAACTTTTTCCGGAATAAACGCAAAAAGTTGTTCTCTCTTGCAGCAAAAAGTGGCCTCAATGACAATGCTAGTGCTAGAAAATACAGTTGAAACTCTCTTCTCCAAAGATTTCCACCTTCTTCAAGCTCTTAACGCAGCGGACTTGGGTTGTGCAGTGGGTCCAACCACGTTCACTGTGATTTCTATAATCAAGAGAATGATGGAAAAGAAATGCAGGGAATTGAATTGCCAAACACTGGAACTTCAGGTTTACTTGAATGATCTTCCTAGAAATGATTTCAATACCCTCTTCAAAGGCCTGTCATCTAAGGTTGTTGGTAACAAATGTGAGAAAGTTTCTTGTTATGTGATGGGAGTACCGGGGTCTTTCCATGGCCGGCTTTTTCCTCGTAACAGCTTGCATTTAGTTCATTCCTGTTACAGTGTTCATTGGCTTACTCAGGTTTGTACATCCATTTGTTTCTACTAGTAATTGACCTTGTACTTATCAAATTATCCTATGTTAATTTCGATCACAATATGAGCAGAGGAGTTGGATGTTGGTCACATACTGTGATGGACACATGAATAATTTTCATTGACCATGCCATGCCACTAGAGAAAGATCAATATTTAATCTAACTGTATGACGGGTACTATATGTATTTATTTGTATTTGTTGTATGGATACATATAAAATTTTTTAAAAAATTGTAAAATTATTCAAAATATGTAGACTAAAAAAAATGGGCAATATAAACCCGTGTAAAATGGTCTTTCTCCATGTCTTTCCCAGTGTTTATCGAAAATTTCATAAAGTCTGGAATTTTCATGTGATGGACTTGGTACATGTGCAACTTAATTAGGATGTGCTTCTTAAGCAATGAATGATGGTTCGATCCTACTCTCTTTTTGTTAATGTAATATCATCGTATTGCTTGTATAAGTTGTATTATTTATTTCATATGACCCATTTGCTTTTGACGTGTAATAAGCTTGCACACTAACCATTTCAATGGTTTCTATGGTGAAATAAAAGGCACCAAAAGGACTCACAAGCAAAGAAGGCTTGGCATTAAACAAGGGGAAGATTTACATATCAAAGACAAGCCCTCCTGCTATAACAGAAGCTTACTTATCTCAATTTCATGAAGATTTCACAATGTTTCTCAATGCTAGATCCCAAGAGGTGGTTCCAAATGGTTGTATGGTGTTGATACTTCGTGGTAGGCTATCTTCTAATCCTTCAGACATGGAGAGCTGCTTTACTTGGGAACTATTAGCCATAGCCATTGCTGAATTGGTTTCACAGTAGCTGTAATTTTTAACACTTCTTTACCATTAAATGTCTTCGTTTGATGTTCATAAGCTCTTACATACCTCTAGAACACAATTTTTCTAGGCCTAAAAATGGTAAAACATGCAAACTATAAACCGAAAATTCCCTTAGGTGCCGTCCACAAAGGTCTAATTTCGCTTGTTATATATTTTTTGTGTCAAATCTCTCATTTCTCAAAATTCGTTTCAATCATTCGTCATTATTCTCAAAATTCGTTACATACATATATAAACTATTCTTTAATTGAGTTAAAATGAAATAGTTGTTAGCCAAACCAAACCAATTCAAGCCTTAAGTCTCATCAAATGGGATCGGCTACATGAAATAGTTATTAGCATTTTACAAAAATGAGTATTCTTCATTGCTCTCAAAAAGCATTTCATATATATAAACTACGCTTTAATCAGAGTTAAAATGAAATCATTATGAACATGTTATCACATTGACTCATATTTTACCCTCTGAAGGTAAAATATTCATAACTCAAAAACGTACTAAGAGTTTGGTGCTCAGACTAGTTATATTCTTAAAGCTTTCCAACTATTTCGGATCATGAAAAACAGAGTTCAATGTGTCCAAAATTAATAATTTTTTGTTTAATTTTTCTCCCCAACATTTTAAAAATATAAGTCATCTTGATGAGTTCTTTCCTTTAAAATGATAAAATCAATACTTATCCCATCATTTGTATATATATATACATATTTGGCATAGCATTACCCTAAAATTATTTGCTTTATTTATTCCAATCTATTGATTTTCTCTCTTTCCTTCGCGATAATAGGGATTGATAGATGAAGATAAATTAGACACCTTCAATGTACCTAGCTATTTTCCATCACCTGAGGAAGTGAAAGACATAGTGAAGAGGGACGGATCATTCACAATTGATCATATAGAGGGGTTTGATCTTGATAGCCTAGAAATGCAGGAGAATGATAAATGGGTTAGAGGGAGAAAATGCAGTTGAAACTCTCTTCTCCAAAGATTTCCACCTTCTTCAAGCTCTTAACGCAGCGGACTTGGGTTGTGCAGCGGGTCCAACCACGTTCACTGTGATTTCTATAATCAAGAGAATGATGGAAAAGAAATGCAGGGAATTGAATTGCCAAACACTGGAACTTCAGGTTTACTTGAATGATCTTCCTAGAAACGATTTCAATACCCTCTTCAAAGGCCTGTCATCTAAGGTTGTTGGTAACAAATGTGAGAAAGTTTCTTGTTATGTGATGGGAGTGATTACAAAACGGATTAGTCAAAACAAAACCGCCCCATCGGTATTACCACCACTACCATTCCTCATTGGACCGTTAAGTTTGGTCATCCCCAACCCAAGATAACCTACGAGCTTATAAGCCACGGACAAGAAGTACTGATGTGCCCCAACTGGCCACACCTGGAACAACTGCGGACTTTCCCAAGTGGGACTTGGGAACTCGACTCTTCTGAGGCCCTCGAAGTCTGGCCTGCTTGTCCCCCAAAATGGTATTGCCCCTGTCCAGTCGAATATGGCTGGGCCCGGTTAGGTTGTAAAACCCCCAACGAAGCCCCCGGCTGGGTACATAAATGTTTACGATGACCCGACCGATTACACATCCAACAAATAAGCGGCTCCCTAGTACGAGACTGGTTTAAAGTCTGAGCTGATGGAGACCCCACCAACTGCTCCCTCACTGAACACTCGATCGACCCAAAGCCTGACTGGCTAGATGGTTCTGGTGGGGCAGTTACTGGTCGAACTGCCAACCCTACTCTCTTCCTCTGCAGGCAAGCTGGGGACTTGTGGCCCAGCTGGCCACACTTGAAGCAAGTAACAACCTTTCGTTCACCCTTTCCCGAATCTAGACTTGGTACTAGAAAAGTAGAGCCAGACTGAGCTCTTTGAAATTGTAGTGGGTTAAAACCCTTCTGCCTCTTACTGGGCCTAGAGTACCTATAAATCGTAGGAGTCCCCACAATGGCTTCCTTCCTAACCTGGCCAAGACCCATCACCACGGGCTCTTCCCTATCTTGTCCCATAGCTAACACCGCTGCCTCAACATGAGCAGTCGCCTCAACAAGCACACTATATCTTTTAAGCCAAGACCCCGCTATCCTTACACGGATGTCGTCACGCAGCTTACTCTCAAACTCGAAACAGCACAAGTCCTCCATCTCCACCAATTCTGGAGCAAACCTCGACAGGTTAGCAAACCATCTTTCGAACCGCACCAAAGGTGTAGTACCTTGGCGTAACTCCGCAAACTGTTTCCGCAACTCTTCCCGAGCGGAAGGAGGGAAATCACAACTTCCTCGCCTAGGCATCCTAGTAAAAGTAACAGAGACACGTTAGCACACTCATACATGTGCCGAAGCTAAACACTCACGTCCTAATACATGGACAACTGTAATTCACTCCACGTAAGCACATAAACACATAAGCATTTACGAATTTCATTTCCGGATATTGATAGCCCCGAGGCGTTGCTAGAGTTCCGGTTAGAAACAGCATTTTGATCAAGTGCCCTTCCAACAGGACTCCCAGAAACCCAAGGATCCAATCAATATCCTAGAAACTATGTCCCATATCCACATAGTCACATAAGCATGTTATCAATTAAGCACATAGCATATGACACTACATCTAAGTCTCTATCAAGCGAGACAAACCCATTGTGATCCTAATCACTTCCCACGTACCCAAAGTATTCGAACCCGGTACGCTCTGATACCAAGTTGTAACGCCCTCAAAATAATAACATTAAACCCATCAATATAAACATACATTTATATACAAAAGATCTACATTTCCTCAATTCATCAGAGTACCTCATTACAAGAGTATTACAAGTGAACAACAAAAGTAAATGCCCTACGGGCTTACAGCTTTCCAAGTTAACACTTGGTTACAAAAGAGAGTATTGACTCGGTTACACATTAAGCCCTTGGCATTGAATTTACATGTAATACATCAAAATGAGATAAGAGAATAAAAGTCTGTCCGCCTCTAGCCTCCCAAGCTATGTCCTTGGAGGTGGCAAGTTACCTGTACCTGAAATGATGTTCCCATATAAGGTGAGCCACAGCCCAGCAGAGATATACTAAACCAACTATAAACAATGCCTAAAATATTAGCAACTGAAAGATGGTCGATACTTGCACCTCCATTTACATCTTATTTCAATTCCATGACAACCAAGTTTATGTTACAATTCACTTTGACAAGCATATGAGCTGTATCTACACTTCACTAGACAAGCATATGAGCTGTATCTACACTTCACTAGACAAGCATATGAGCTGTATCTACACTTCACTAGACAAGCATATGAGCTGTATCTACACTTCACTAGACAAGCATATGAGCTGTATCTACACTTCACTAGACAAGCATATGAGCTGTATCTACACTTCACTAGACAAGCATATGAGCTGTATCTACACTTCACTAGACAAGCATATGAGCTGTATCTACACTTCACTAGACAAGCATATGAGCTGTATCTACACTTCACTAGACAAGCATATGAGCTGTATCTACACTTCACTAGACAAGCATATGAGCTGTATCTACACTTCACTAGACAAGCATATGAGCTGTATCTACACTTCACTAGACAAGCATATGAGCTGTATCTACACTTCACTAGACAAGCATATGAGCTGTATCTACACTTCACTAGACAAGCATATGAGCTGTATCTACGGAGTTCATCCCCCATCTCCTCCCAATCCTATCCGGTTTAGAGGTACATCCCCCATCTTCTCCTAAACCGCGGAGTACATCCCCCATCTCCTCCTCTACACAAAGCATATAAACACAAAGGTTATATACACAATATAACGCATGTAAACACAGAATCACATACGCAATCAATCAATACATAAAGTTAATGTATTCTACCAGCCGTCTACACATAATGCATATAAACACATTGGTCATATACACAATCACTCAATACATACAGTTAATGTATTCTATCAACTGTCATACTCTATGACACATCCGATTGATTAGTTTTAGTTTGCCTAATCATCATGCATTGTCTACAACAATCAACACTACCCTCCACCGGTAGCCCAAAGCAATTATTTCTAAGCAGGAAATAAATGCACAAATGGATAATATATCAACATTTCAACTAGATGAGCAATAAAAGATTCGTCTACCCTCTTTAATCCCATATATTCCCAATTTCAACATTCTCAATTCAATTCCTCGCTTTCTTCAATTAATTATATGCATTAATTAATTAAACCAATTAGGAAAAATTACCATAATACACAAAACAACCCTAAGGTTCCATTTCCATCAATGTCCCAACATTAATCTCGTTTCTCTATGCCTAACATGCATATAGGTTTATATATTTAAAACCCTGACTTTTGTAAAATTACACAAAGGCCCGAACTTTCTCAAAATTACCCAACAACCCCCAACATATCAAAATGCTAAAATTCAAAGACAAAGCTCATAAGATGGAGTTGGTTATCCCTACCTCGAATGATGGGACTCAACGAAGGAGATGAAGAAACGGAAATGCTCCAAATCCCAAAATTTTCAGATTGGGAGATAGCCCTCGACGATCCACACAACTTTTGTAAAGGCCCAAGGTGAGAAAATAACTTCTACGAGATCAATCCTAAGAGAGAAGTTAGGGTTTTAGTGAGAGGAGCTCTCAAAATACCTTTTTGGAAAAGTAGGAGAGAAAGGATGATGAAAAGTGAACAAAAAGGTCGGATCTCGGCTTTATATAAAAGTCGCCCCGCTCGAGCGTCGAACTCCCCGCTCGAGCATCACTCACAGATCCCCGCTCAATCGTCCAATCCCCCGCTCGAGCGGCGGATGCACGCTCCCAGAACTTTTACAGACATGATGCCCGCTCGAGCGTTGAACTCCCCGCTTGAGCGTCAGACACGTACTCCCGCTCGAGCGTCCAATCCCCTGCTCGAGCGTATACCACTGCAGACGAAATACTAGATGGGTGATTTCCCCGCTCGAGCGCCAACACCCCCGCTCGAGCGGGAAGACCAAAAATTGGGCAAAGACTTTATGTTTTAAAACGCAACCAACTTATTCCCAACTTGCCCAACACAACCCCAAGCTCGAACACAAAGAGAAAGGGATAGAAAGAGGATAAGACAACAGCACCCTTACGAAATCGAATCCGAATTATAGTTAAGCACGAAAAGGAAAACCAGGATCGCTATACGAATAAAAATAAAAATGGAAGTTGCATAAAATTAAAAATGAAAGTTCATTCAAGAAACCACTATAGCTTAACGTTCTATTTGGAAATTAAATAAAAAAGGAAGTTTAATAGAAAAGTAAATTGAATAAAAATAAAAATTGAAGTTGCAGAAAATTAAAAATGGAAGTTCAATCCAGAAACCACTATACCTTAACGATCTATTTGGAAATTAAATAAAAAAGGAAGTTGAGTAGAAAAGAAACCTGAAAAAAAAGGATGTTAAATAAAAATAAAAATGAAAGTTGCAGAAAATTAAAAATGGAAGTTCATTCAAGAAACCACTATACCTTAACAACCTATTTGGAAATTAAATAAAAAAGGAAGTTGAATAGAAAAATAACTTGAATAAAAATGGGAGTCGAATAAAAATAAAAATGGAAGTTGCAGAAAATTAAAAATGCAAGTTCAATCCAGAAACCACTATATCTTAACGATCTATTTGGAAATTAAATAAAAAAGGATGTTGAATAGAAAAAAAACTTGAAGAAAAAAAGAAGTTGAATAAAAATAAAAATGGAAGTTGCTACAAATTATAATTGGAAGTTCATTCAAGAAACCACTATACCTTAACGATTTATTTTCAAATTAAATAAAAAAGGAAGTTGAATAGAAAAATAACTGGAATAAAAATGGAAGTCGAATAAAAATAAAAATGGAAGTTGCAGAAAATTAAAA